AAATAAATAAATAAATAAATAAAACAAGTGTAAAAGTTCTGGCTTCAATCCTTAGTACATAAAAATAAAAAAACTAAATGGGGGGGGCGGGGGTGTGTGTGCACACACCTGCCATTCCAGTGCTTGGGAGGCCGAGGCAAAGGATTGCTGAGTTTGAGGCCAGCCTGAACTACACAGAGTTCAGGGCCAGCCTGGACTACCTAGCAAGCCTGTCTCAAAAAACAAAAACAAAAACAAAATTCTTTTTCTAAAACATTCCAGGCCTTATACACAGGCCTTATATACAGTACCACCACTCTGCCACAAGGAAGGATAAACTTGGGTCATTTGTAGGAAAATGGATGGACCCTGAGACCATAATGTCAAGTGAAATACACCAGACACACAAGTTTCCTTTTTTGTTCGTTTGTTTTTGTTTTTGTTTTTGAGACAGGGTCTCACTATGCAGCACAGGCTGGCCTTAAACTGCGTAGCCCAGGATGACATCTAACTTGCAGCGATCCTCCTGCCTCAGCTACCTGAGTGCTGGGATTATAGGCGTGTACCACCATGCCCGGCTTCAGACACACAAGTTTCAATATCACATGGTTGCTTTCTCTTCTATGAAAATCCTAAAATAAAATTGAAAACACGTTAAAGGTAGATAATAGGAAGCAGAGAAATCATAGATCTTTCTCAAAGGGGAAGGGGACCAAGAGATGAGGGAGTAGGAGGGACGGAGGGGAAGGAAGGGGTGAAGTAAGCATTAAGATGTGTCATGTGCATGTAGCAGCTGTCCACGAGGAACAAAATCAGGATGGAGGGGCTGGGGGTTTAGTTCAGCGGCACAGCGCCTGCCTGGCAAGCACAAGGTCATGAGTTTGATTCCTGGTACTGGAAAAAAAAAAAATGAAGACAGGAAATCAGGATGCACTGGAAACAAGTATTAATAAAAAATTTAAAACTGAGAAAAAAATTAAAAGGAAGCAGTCTAGCCGGTGTGGTGGTGCACACCTGTCATCCTAGCACTCAGGGGGTTGAGGCAGGAGGATCACCACGAGTTCAAGGAGAGCCTGCGCTACATAGTGAGCTCAAGGCCAGCCTAGACCACACAGTGACAACCTGTCTCAAAAAAAAAAAAGAAAAGAAAAAGAAAATCAGTCCAGCCCTGCCACCGTTCCCCCCATGTAACACTTTCCCTGACCTCAGGTCAGTCCCCTGACCCACATGGGCCTCATACAAGTGGAGGTCAGGGCCCTTCACAGCCTAGCCAGGCACAGCATGGTGTGCAGTCCTGGGGCACACCATGCTCCTCTGGCTCCATTCCCCAGCCTTCCCAAGTTGTCCCTGGTGGCTGAGGCCCGGGGTGGCCACTGAGTTCTGTGATTACGTGACTGACAACACGGAACAAACCAAATCAGTGATTCAGTGCCAAGTGTCCACCCACGGCCTACGGCTGCCACGCTGGACAGAGAGGACTTGGGCTGAGCCTTTGTCACCAGCCTCGATGGTGGCCGTGGTGCTGGTGGCCTCTCGCCCTGCCTGGCTTTGGCTCCCTGAACCCCTCTCCACCCCAGGGCCTCGCACTCACCTTCCCTTTCCAGCTCTTCCTCATCCATAGCGACCTCTTCCTCCTCCTCTCCTCCCTCCTCTTCTTCCTCCAGTGTGAAGGACAGGCTCGAGATCTTCCGCTTGGCCTCCTTCTTGCGCTCCTTCTCCCGCAGCTTCTCCAGCTTCCTACCAAGGCACGGGTGGCTGTCATGCCCCATGACCCTGACCCGGAGCCACCACACACTCAGCATGGGAACCATGAGTGCAGGCTGGAGGGACCCAACTGCCCTGGGTCACCATGAGGTCACAGGCAGGGCCCTGATTATTACAAGGAGGCAGAGGGAGACACAGGGCGGTGACACCTAAAGAAAGGAGAGGGCCTGAAAGCATATGCCACCCTCACAAGGGCTGGTGCTGGTGGCCAGGAAGGCCAGGAAGGGCCAGGCCCTTCACAGGGGCCTGGAAGCAGAAAGACAAACAAGAAAGCTGAGAGGACTGTTTCGAGGCCCACACTAGACGCTGCCCTTGTCCCCAAAGCAGGAAATGGAGCCCTCGAATAGGAGTAGCCTGAGTTGCCCCTAGCCCACAGGTATGAGCTGTATGTGAGGGGCAGCCACAGGAGGGGACCCACAGCTGCAGCTCCTTCGACTGCTCCTTCTTGGCCAGCTGCTTCTCCCGCTCCTTCACCAGCGCCTCCTGCTTGGCCTTCATGTCGTTCAGCGTCACGAGGCCTGCGAGGAAGGACTGGTCACCCAGAGCCAGCAAAAGGGCGGCCCTGTGCCCAGAAGAGGGTGGCCATGTGCCCTGCTCACCCACAGTGCTAGACTTTAGCTCTGCCTCCACGGCATCATAGTGTGCAGAGAACTTCTTGTCAATGTTGGATTTCATGATGTTCTCCTGCAAGAGGAAGCCCAGCCGTGGGGGCCACTGCCACCCTCCTGGAAGCCACAGCTGCCCTTCCTACTGAGGGCCTGGGTTCCAGTCCTAGGGTTTGCCCTAGGGTGTGCTCTTGGAAGAAGACAGGGCCCCCTTCCTTGGTTGGGGAAGGCTCTTCAGTACTAACTCCAGACTACTGGCCTCTGAGGGGAGCATCCTGAGACCTGAGCCAGGGGTGTCGTGAGAGGACAAAGTAGAACAGGGTGGGTGGAAAGGCCCAACCTCTCTCAGAGCTGTTGGCCTCCCTCCCAAGCCATATTGCCTGAGCCCACCCAAAAGGTCTCCTCCTCCAGTGCAATCCCATCTATGGTACCATGCAGGTTCCCTTCTAGCCAAGGTCTCCAAAGGAAGTGGCCGACAGAAAAATACATTCTCAAGCCGGGCATGGTAGTGCACACTTGTCATCCCAGCCCTCCGGAGGCTGAGGCAGGAGGATCGCCATGAGTCTGAACCTAACCTGAACCACAAAATGAGTTCAAGGTCAGCCTGAACTGTACAGTGAGACTCTGTCTCAAAACACTAAAAATTAAAAGAAGGGAAATCCACCTTCAACTTGCAGGAAGTCCCCACTGAGACAGACTGGGGCTGAGAGTGTGCCTGTGCCTGAAGGCTATCAGCTAAGAGCCCTGGGTGCCTGAGCGTCCTGGGGTCCCCCAGCCCCGCGCCATCGCTGGCCATTCACGGGAGCCCCGAGGGGACCACCAGCACTGCGCGTCTCGCGGGGCAGAAGGTGCAGGGAAGCAGTCTCGGAGCCCGGCCGCGAGGCACCGGGCGCTGGACAGGGGCGCCGGTAGCACCAGGGGAACGTCGACCACAGGCTCCCTTCCGCAGGGGGCTGGCACACGCTGCCTCGGACCCAGCCCGCCCGTAGCCCATTTCACAGATGAGACCGTCGCTGAGGAGTCAGGGTGCCGCCTTCCGCTACAGGCACTCCCAGCCCAAAGCCTGGGGGCCCAGGGGAGCCCGCGTGGCGCGCATGCTCGGGGCTGCCCAGCCCGACCTCCGCGATCCGCTGCTTCATTTGCTCCATCTGCTCGCGCTGCTTCTCCCGTTTCTTCATCAGGTGCATGGCGCGGCCGGCCTCGCTCGCGGCGCCCTTGTACTGAGCCATGGCGGTGGCGGCGGCGGTGGCGGCGGCGGTGGCAGCGGCAGCAGCAACAGTGACAGCACCAGGGTTGAGTCTTGGCGGCGGCCGTTCAGTCAGCTGACACCTGACGTCCTCCGCCCGCCCCTTCCCACCACGTGACCGCGACCGCCCGGCCTCCTTAGTGAGTGACGTACCCCGCCCCGTCCACCGCCCGGCTGCCGGCTCCCAGGTCCAGGCTGACCCGGCCCTGCCGCTTTGCTTCCTTGTCGTGGACACTGAGCCTGGATCTCCGGCCTCCTTCGTGGCCTCGACCTTGGCACCGGCTCGCAACTGCGCCTCCAGCGCCCCCTGGGGATCCAGGACAGTCTTCTCCCGTTAGGGTTCGGGGTTGGTCAGGTTCAGGCAAGTTCCTGGTTTCCTTCGGTGCTGAAGGCCAGGCCCCCGGCTCCCCCAGCAAACCTTGCCCGGCCATGTAGGCCAGACCCCGGTTCCCTTGCTTCCCTAGGCTCCCACGCTGGCCCTCGCCGCCTTCTGCCTTCTTTCCCCCACTGAGGCCGGCCTGGTCTTCCCACTTGCCCGCATTGGATCCTGAAGGGCACAGGTGCAGTGCCAGGCGCTAAGCCAGAGCCCCAAGCACTTGGCTTTATGGAAAGGAATCTAAAAACCCAGGCTCAGGTTTCAACACAGTTTATTGGGAGGTTTTGTTTTCTGTGAAATATACTAGAGGTTGGGGAAAGGGACACATTCACTTTGCAAGGTAAGGGTTTCCCACCACTAAAGGGAAAGCATGGGGTGGGGTACACAGGGCTTGGGTCCATTTTCCCACCTCCTTTTGCTTTGCGCACATCTCTTCTCAGCAAGTACCAGAGAACACAAACACGAAGACAAGGAATAAAAACGGAGCTCAACCTCCAACAGAGCCACGCCTACGCCCTCTTCCCTCCCCTCCCCCCTCCCCTCCCCCCTGGAGGCTCTGACTTGGGGTAGGAGTTGGTTAATAAATTAGAATAAATTATGGGGGAGGAATGCAATTTGTGCTGGGAGGGCCCCTTCTCTCCAACACACAGGAGAGCCGGTGGGGGGAGGCAGGGGGCATCTCCAAAGGCCACTACAGTGGGGTAAGAGGGGTGGGGGCAGAAGTCAGCTCTCCTCCGCATCCTTCCCAAACACAGCAGAAGAGTTACAGGCGGGGGAGACAGAGGGAGAGGAGTCCTCTTTTCCTAGGACAAGGAAGGGCCGAGAATGAGGATGTTATCCAACCCCCATCTCCCAAACCATCGCTAAGGTTAAGGGTTTGGTCAGTGAATCAGTGAGGTGGGTGATAGGAATGTGGGGAAAGCAAAGAGTGCTGGGAGCAGGGGTGCCCAGCCAGACGTCCCCCCAGCCCTGGAGGAGAACAGACACAGGAGTAGGGGCAGCAGGGGCTGGGGCAGGGGCCAGCAATCACTGGTCAGCTTCTCCAAAGACATCGTTCTGTTTGCGCTTCATGTTCTCAAAGTCAAAGGCCGAGCCCGCCATGCGTTTGTAGATGTCTTTTATGTCATTGCAGGTCGTCTCAAAGTGTGTGGTGGCGTCGTAGGAGCAGGAGCAGAACACCTGGAAAGAGCAGGTCCAGGGCCCAGGTGACTGGACAAGGGCCTGGGGGGCAGCCGGGGCCACGGCTGGAAGCTGCTTACCTGGCTCTCAGAACCATCATCGATGGGCTCATACAAGTCGCTGATCGCCACGAACCTGGGGGCAGGAGGGGGATGCTTGCGTCAGACCCTGCCAGAGGCAGCCTCCAGCTCTAGCTCCAGCCCTACCCCAGGTGCAGCCCAGCCCCTCACTTCTGGTCAATAGGCTCCAGCAGCTCGAGAGCCGGTTCGACCTCCTTCTCTGGATCGGCAGTCTCCACTGTGGTGCTGGCGATGGCAACGTACTTGCCTTGCGCGGCCACATTGTGCGCGTAGGAGATCATGCACACGTAGATATCTGCTCACGGGAAGCGCTCCGTTACCATAGGCCAGGGGGACCCCCTCCCCAGCCGCAAACGTCTTGTGACTTCATTGTGCAACAGCCCCCAGGGACCCCACTGCGGCAACGTCCAGAGGTGGGCCAGGAGGGGCGGGGTCTCAAGGGCTCCGCCCTTGTCAGCAGATGGGCCCAGGATGAGGCTGTAACCCAATGGGCTCCCTAGGAGGTGGGGCCTCGCACATAGGGCTTTGAAGACTGTCCAGCCCACCCCAGCCCCTCCCCTTCTACCTCCTTCCCTCCTTCCCTCCCTTCCCCTCTTCTCTGCCCTTCTTTTTTTCCCTTCCCCCTCTCCCCGCCCTTCCCTTCCCTTCTTGTGCACCATGAGGTGCACAGCTCTCTCGGGCCCTTCCACCACATTCTTCGCACCTCGGAGCAACAGGGACCCAAACGAAACCTGTCCTCCTTGTGTTATCGGTGGCGGGGGCTAGGTCCCAGCCACAGGAAGGTGACTAACATAGCATCCCATCATGGCAGGGGAGGGTTGGAGCCATCGGTCCAGTTGCTGGGCCCACACAAGCATCCCCTTTGCTCTACGATGAGGTCATGCAGGAAGCCCCAAGGCTGGGGAGGACAAGCAGAGCGGCCCGGGAGAAGGCATAGGGGCAGTGGGCTGTGGGCTCCCTACCTGACTTCCTGTTGACCTGGTTCTGAGGGATGATGATTTGGCAGGAGTTGGCATCGTTGGTGTTCTTGATGGGATGACTGAGGATACAGATGATGCGAATGACTTGGCCAGCCTTCCGCACACGGTCCGGGATGTAGCTGGGGTCACAGATCAGCTGCTTGCAGCGGGCCACCTAGGAAGGTACCACAAGGCCTTGCTCCTGCTGGGTCACCCCTTTCACCAGTGGTCACCTGCTGGGCCCCCCAGGGATGGCAGGCAGGGTTCTCTTCTGTCATCACTGCCCTGCCCTTCAACTCAGGGTGATGAGCCTGGCACACAGGGTTGGGTGGTCCCACTGCTGAGACACCGTGGTCTGGCAGATTTTCTGGACCACAGAGATAGTGCCTGGCCCCTGAGGACGCAGAGCCCCTAGAGAGGTGCCCTGCTTCGGGGAAGGCTCACCTCTCCCTCAGACTTCACGCCTACCACCTTGCCGTTCTCCATGATGATGTCATCCACAGGCTTGTTCAGCATGTATGTTCCTCCATAGATGGCACTCAGTCTGCAGTGGGGACAGGAACGGTCACATCCTCCTCCCGGAGAGTGATCAGGGGCCAATTCCACCACACCCTCCCAACCGCGCCACCGAGGTCTAGGTAGGCAAAGTCAGCAGACCTGCTGTTCATTCCAGCTGTCACGGCATCAGGTCGGAACCCATCTGCGTGCTCTCTCTCCTCCCCAGATCCCCCCCAAGAAGAGTCTACGAAGGGCTGGCATGAGGGGGCAGCTCAGGTGGAAATGGCCCAGGGGACTAGCACTCAAGACTCTTTAGGGGAGGGCTAACTCCCAGCTAAGCCCTGCTTGAAGTTCCCCGCCCTGGCCCAGCCCCATGCTGCCCGGAGATGAGCAGGCCACGTTCCTGAGCCTGTGCTTCAGCATATCAGGGCTGTGCCCCCATCACTCAAGACAGTCTCCAATGCCCCAGAAGGCTCCAGGGGCCATTTCCGTCCTCAGCCTCAGTTCCACCCATTGATGCCATCTGAAGAAAACTGTGTCCTCACCTTGCAAAGCCCTGAGGCAGCTCCCCCAGGCCATAGAGTGGGTAAAGATATGGGCTCTTGCCATACCGGGCCAGGGACTCACTATACAACTTGATGCGGTTGATGGTCTCCAGACAGGGCTGGTCTAGGTAGCTGGGGAGAACAGCGAGGGAAGACTCTCAACAGAAGCACCCTGCTTGCCCCCACCTAGGTGCCTGGCCTGGTCAGACAGGTCAAGTGTAGGATGCAGGAGGGGACAAACAGGTGACAGGTAAATCTGGTACAAGCAACATGCAGAATGGGCAGAAGGCACAGCAGGCAGGTGTGGGGCAGACAGGTACAGGCAGGCAAGGGGCACCAGTCACACCAGCTTCCCCTCACTCATCAGTGCGGTAGAGAGCCAGGGCATGGCCAGTGAAGTCGATGACATCCTGGCCCAGGTCAAACTTCCGGTAGACATCACGCATGCTGGTAGTCTGGGGGTCCACGCCCTCAAAGGTCTTGGGGTCGTTCTCATCAAAGTTTGCCACGAACACCAGGAACTTTCGGAAGCGACGTTTCTCGAACATGCCCATGAGATCTGGGGAGGGTGAGGAGACTGTGCGTGTGGGAGCACATGAGCGCCCTGCCTGCTACAACAGCTAAGTTGGCCCATGACTTGCAGTCAACCCCCTTCCCCTCCTCAGCTCTGGTTCCCTCCCCTGTACAACGAAGGGCGAGGGCAGGGTAGCGTCCTCCCAACTCCACCTCCTGGGGATGTTTTGGTGTCAAGAGGAGCCTCTGCCAAAGGCTGGAATCTGTGAAACTCCAGTTCCCCTCCACAGCCCCGCTACATGAGTGCTTCTGTGCTGGCAACCTGCTGTAAGGGTCAGTAGGGGACAGCAGAGAACAGAGAGCAGCGGGCCTCTGGTACTGCCTGAGGAACAGAACCACGAGCAGAGGGGGCCCTTGCCGTGCGTGAACAGCTGCCTCCCCTACTCCCACACTCACTTGAAGCCAAGGCCTCGGTCTCTGTGGAGGGCACCTTGTAGATCTTGCCCCCCTTGTAGACAAAGCTGCCTTCCACCACCTTAAAGTCCAGGTAGCGAGTCACTTCTGTGTACAAGAGCATCTTCACCAGCTGCCCTGTAGGGATGACAGCATCAGCAGGGCCCCTGTCCTGGAGCCCAGCTCTCTTGTGTCACCCACCCCCCACAGTAGCCCCTTCATCTCCCTCACCGTTGGCCATGAGAAATTTGGGGATCAGGTCAACGTTCCAGTCTCGCCCCCGGCCCATTGATTCGGGAGGGCCCTCCGGCAACTGAAAGCGCTTATACAGCTGCAATCAGGAAGGAGAAAGAGAGAAACCTCACGGACTTCCACTCTACCCCCACCCAAAAAACCTAGGCATGCTCCTGTGTGGGGGTCAGGGCAGCCTCACCTCCTCCAGGGGTGTGATGGATGAGCTCTCACCCCCGTAGTAAGGGTTCCGGTCCATATGCAGCACTTTCTTCCCGTTCACAGACATGATGCCCGACAGGATGCATTCCTGGGGGAGGGGCACTGTGGGCTGCTGCGCTTCCACCTGCCAGAGTTCTCCCGCAGCAGCCTTGATCTGCTCTCCACCCCACCGCTGCCACAATGGACAGCTCCTTCTACTCCTGGGTGGCTGCACGGACAATTGGGGGTGATGGCTCCATTGGGCCATAGTCTCTGGTTTAACCTTGGTCAGCAAAGAGATGACCAAGGAGAGAAATAAGGGAGGCTTTAGGAGTCCAGTGGTCAAGAGACACATGGACAGTCTGAGGGCATCAACATGCCAAAAAAGTCATCTATGCATACACACGGTGCACAAGAATGCAAATGAGATAAATGAGCCACCCACAACCCAGCTCAACCTCAAAGGGTGCCCAACAGGGACACGCAGATGAACACAACCCTTGGAATTGCAGGCCTCTCCTGGGCTGCTCTTTCTTCCAAGGGGCCACGTCCCCTAAAGGAGGGGTGTCTGGGCTGTGGGCGTCTGGCTTGGGTGGAGGGCGGTGAGCAGTGGGGGGAATGGGCGACGGGCTTTGAGGAAGGGAAAGATGAAACACCCTCCCCAGTCTCTGCTACCAGCCCAAGGACAAAGGCTGCAGGCAGTACTCAGCCTCAGGTCTCCATGGGAAACCAGGGTGGGGTAGCGGGAATGTGGTCATTGCCCCCATTGCTGCTGCTTCTGGAACATTCCCTCGGCCCCCAATCTCCGAAAGAAGCCAGGGAGGCAGGTTGCGGGCCCAGCTTGCAAAGCCCCCAGACCCTACGGCCTCCTGAGCTTCCCACAAGATGGGAATGGATGCTAGGCGGGTGATGGGTACAGGCGATGGGTGGGGGCCTAGTGGGCGGGGAGCAGGGGACACCAGATCGAGTTGGGGTGAGTTTCCCAATGCGGCAGGCCGAGGCAGGGAGCACCGGAGAGGGCTGGGGCCGGGGTCGGGACTTGGGCAGGGAGGAGGGGGCCCCTTCCGAGGAGACGGGGCACAGCGGTGGAGGACAGCAGACACCGCAGGGGCGAGGGCACAGGGTGGGCACGGCGCTGGCTTTTCAGGAGCCCGAGCGGAGGATGGCAATAACGGGAGGATGGGGCCGGCGGCCAGGGCTGCATCATCACTGAGGTTACGGAGTGCATGATGCAGGACCACGGGCACCCGGGACCACGGGCACCCGGGCCGCACTTACGGTGAGACCGGTACCCAGCACGATCACATCGTATTCCTCGTCCATGGTCAGGCCTTGGTGCCAGCACCGCTCGGCTCCTCCTCTTCCTTCACCACAGCAGCAGATGATGCTGCCGCCGTCGCCGCCACCGCCGCCGCACTGGACCAAAGATGGCGGCTCTTCGGCCTCTGCGCGACCCCTCCGCCGCGTCAAAGAGTCCCACGCCCTCCCCTCACCCCGCCGCGCTTGGTCGGGGCTGCAGCCTTCTTGTCTCGCCTTCCGGGAGCACGGTGGATGCCCGGGCCCCAGAGCGAACGCGACGCCTCCGACGATGCCGCTAGACCAGGGTCCCGGGAGAGGCGTGGTGGGGCGGGCCAGCGGCCTGTGCTGCGACAGGGATCCTTGCGCGGGAGCCCCACGCGCCCCGCCCCGCGCGCTCCCGCCCCGCCCCTCGGGAGGCTCCGCGCGTTCCCGCAGCAGGGCGCACAGCGCCGCGGCAACCAGGGTGGGCCCCCCCTAACCATGATGCGAGAGCTACCATTGCGATGAGCGCCTGGCGAGGCACACCGGACGCGGCCCCGGCAGCACCTTTGTACCCTCACCGGTTAGGAGCGCAGCGCGCTAAAGACCCGCCCCCCCAGCCTTGCGCCCTCAGGTGTCTGGCCTTGGCCTGGCTCAGCTATATCCGGGTGCCTCCTCCCGCATCGCCAAGCCAAGCGCATCCGTCAGTTAAGCGTGTGCACACACCTGATGCCCCAGACAGAAAGGAGTGACAAGAGGCCGAACTTATGGCAACCCTTATTTTATTTGGAACGAAACAACAGAGCGCCCAAGACTCCCGGGCGCTCCTGGTAAGAACATGCCAGAAACCCAGTGATCACACCCAGCCCACCTGTCATGGAAATCAGTCCCTTCCCTCTGAGAGCACACACAAACTCGCCTACTGCATGTCGTTAGCACAGAACCGAACAGCGGCTGAGTCGAAAGGGGAAGTAGTACTTCCACCCCCTACACACTCGGGGGGATCCCAAGCTCATGGTTGCTCCAAGGAGCCCCAGAGAGCCTGGGGTGGGTCATTTGCACACAAAAGCACTATGAACAGCAAGGGGTGATGGTGGAGAGATGAGAATAAATAACAGGTAGAAGGGGGACCCTAGAACTAATGTTCTCTCCTCTGATGATGACAGAGCCTGGGGATTGGTCTACTGCCTATGAAGAATATGTACACCTTACTGGCAGGGACGGGGACAGCCCTGGGAAGCCCACAGCGGCTGAAAGGGGAGCAGGACAGGCTGGGGGGGGATGTGATTCATGCTGTGGGAGAAAGAGGGGAAGCCCTCCCATCTGTCCACTGTGGGACACACTGCCAACCCCTCAACCCCCCACTGGCACGGGTCACACAATCTGGGTCAAAGCGATGGTGGGCCCCTTGTGGTCATCAAAGCGGTCCATGGTCTTGAGGCTGAGGATCATGTGCAGCCCGTAGGTGAAGATGAAGAGCATGAAGAGGGACGTGAGCAGGCCCATCCAGATGCCAGGAGAGAAGAAGCCCGCGCAGTCACTAGCATAGGAAAAGCGCTCGCCTGTCACGTTGAAGGCCTGGATCTGGGGGATGCAAGGACTCGGGTCAGGAGGGAGCAGGCGGCCCCATGCAGATGGAGGCCTGAGGAGAGCTGAGCCTGCAGGAACTCCCTCCCCTGACCGCCAACACCTCGCCACCACCCTGGCCGCACCTGGAAATCCTGGAGGGTGATGTGCCACAGGGAGGGCTGCGTGTTGGGCACTAGGAGGTTGCCCATCTGGCTTTTGCTGCTCACATACTCGCAGCGGAAGGAGTAGATGCTGGGCCCAGTAACCTGGGAGGCATTGAAGGTGGTGATGGAGCCGTTGCTGTGGATTTCGAGGCGCTCCATGGTAAACCAGTCACGGGCAGACACTGGGTAGAAGCGGCTTGCCAGGATGAACCTGAGAGGCGGCAAGAGTGGCAGGTTAGCAGGTGCACCAAGTAACATGAGCCCATCCCGCAGCCCACTGGCCCAGGACTCACTTGAACGTCACTGTAGCAGCAAAGAGCCCGTTGTAGGTCAGCGAGAGTCTGTGGCCAAGGTGGAAGTGTGTGTCAGGGGGCCGGAGTGGCTGAGAAGCAAGCACCCAGATCTGCCCTACTGAATGCCCCAGGTTCCCACAGCCACTGAAGAGGCAGTATCCCCACTAGACAGATAGGGACATAATCGAGTTGGGAACCAAGCTGGAAGCAGCACCTAAGTCCCATATCTCTGGCCCTCAAGTCCACCATCCCTCTTTTCAGCTCCCTCCTGGGGTCACTGCTGAGCTGCTTGGTGAGGCTTTGGGGCGAGGAGAGTGGGAGGGTCCACGAGCCCCAGGATGGGTAAGTGCACTGTACACAGCCCAGGGCCTACCAAGGCCTCAGGGGCCTGAGTAGCCCACCTCCAACAAACCCACCCAAGACACCACCTACAGGCCCTTGGCTCCCTGTCTTGCCTCCAGCCTGCAGGGGCAGGAGGCCCCAACCTCAGCCCTCACCCAGCCAGGGAGTTGTTCCAGAAGGAGCCAGTGAGGTTGAGCTCCGGTGATCCGAAGGTGCGGTGGGTCAGGTCTTGCCGATGGCCTCCATGCTCCACAGAGAAATTCTGGGCCCAGAACAGGATCCTTGTGGCAGTGTCATTGTAACTCACGGGAGGATGGATCACAGGTGACGCCGCCTGTTTTTGGAGCAGCTGGCGACCTAGCCCCCCAGCCACCATGGCTACATCTCGAGTCACCTGAGTAAAGAGCCAGGAAGCCTCTGTCAACTCTTCTGGGCGCACACGCCAACCCAGCACCTGCTTTCCCCACTGGCACCCTGGGGCCTGCCCACAGGGTACAGGAGGCACTTCTTAGCACACTGTCCCCATGGACCCCACTGGGGTCCTCAGCACACCGCTTCCCAGAGCCCTGGGACACACAGCACCCCGAAGGACACATACCCGGGACGGGCGGACCGCTGTGAACGCAGCCGTGTAGGAGATGTCTTCGGATTTGAGGGTGCTCAGCACCTGCCCAATCACCTCATCTGAGGGGTGTGGAGAGCAGGAGACCCAGTCAGTGGGTGGCAGCTTAAAGAAACACTCCCCTGCCCCGCCCCATCCCACCAATTTAGACACCAGTGAGAGCCTATGGTCCCTGCAGGTGCCTAGGGATAGCTACTTCATCCCCTCCCTTAGCCCGCCTCCCCAGGACAGCTGTGGCCTCAGCCTCTAGCTCCCAGGCGGGTAGCCCAATCTAAGGGTGGTGGGAATGACTGACTATCCTTTATAGCAGAGACAAGTCCTCCTAATTGTTCTTTTTGGGCTTTTTTTTTTTTTTTTTTTTGAGACAGAGTCTTGCTAGGTCATCCAGGCTGACCTCGAACATACAAGCCTCCTGCCTCAGCCTCCCAAGTGCTGGGATGACAGGAGTGCACCATCACACCAAACCTTCTCCTAACTGTTCTGCCCAAGTGTTTCTGGTCTTTTAATTTTTTTTTTTTTTTTTTTTTTTTTTTTTTTTTTTTTTTGTCTTTTTAAGACAGGGTTTCGCTATGCAGTTCAGGCTGGACTTGAGCTCACTTTTTAGCCCAGGCTGGCCTCGAATTCACAATGATCCTCCTGCCTCAGCCTCCCGAGTGCTGGGATTACAGGCATGTGCCACCACACCTGGCTGGTCTTTTACATTGAAGTCTTGGGACTCGTGAACCTGGGCAAAGCCTGGGTCCCAGGCACCTGCCCCCAGGGGGCTGCAGCACTGCAGGAGGAGGCGGGCCTGAGGATGGGGTGCAGACACATACACGCCCTCCCTGGATCCACTCACCGTTGCCCGTGAGGACCTCCCTGGGTGCCATCAGACTGGAGCTGTGGATGGGACACAGCATGAGAGCCACTCAGGGTCCAGCACCCTCCCTCAGCCCATGGCCCCTCCCCTGGGTGCCCAGGGTCTCCTGCTCATCCGCTTACCTCAGACTCCCCACCTGGAGCCCTGCCTCACTGTGGAGGCTCACAGGGTGCCCTGTCACCTCTGCACCTGGCTCACCTGGCTGTGTAGGGCAGGCGGATGAGCAGCAGGGCGGGGAGGCTGGCATTGAGCTTCAGCTCGCGCAAGGTGGCCAGGTCCACGTGCAGGGGGCTGGCACCCAGCTTCTCCTGCAGGTAGGTTGTCAGGGTGCTGACCGCGTACCAGTCGACAGCGGGCAGCACCAGCGAGGAAGGAGCCAGGTCCAGGGCATTCTGGGGGCAGAGGGAGGGTAGAGGACTGAGCTTGGGGCCACACAGTCCCCACTGTGGTCAGAAAGGAGACTCCCCCCAGGGCCCTTTACACTCAGACCTCAGGCTTTTAACAATCAGCACCCTCTAGCCTTTCTTGAGACAGAGACTTGCTAAGTCACTCAAGCTGGGCTTAAACTTGCGATCCTTCCACCTCCGCTGGGATTCTGAGCAGGGGGCCCCACACCTGGCCCAAAGGGTACCATTCTCAGCCTGCTGGGAGAGGAAGCGCAGAATCCCCATGCACCCACAGCCTGGGCTGGAAGGGGATGCTCACCTCCAGGTTAGAAAAGGCGCTGTCCTGCTTATTTCCAAACACGCCACCGTAGGCTGTAAAGTCCTCGATGCTCAGCTAAGGGAGAGGTGGAAAAGCGGCTCAGGTGGCCAGGCAAGGACAAGGGTCAGGGCAGGGGCCAGCGCTGCCTCAGGCCCTACAACCTCTGTTCCAGCCAGCCATGGTGCAGCAGGAGGGCAGGCTGCAGGTGCCAGGTGGGAGCCTCAGCCCTGTCCCCAGCACTGTCAGGACAGCGGGACAAGACAGGAAGATAGGGCCGGGGATATAGCGCAGTGACACAGCGCCTGCTTAGCAATTCCCGGTACCAAAAAAGAAAAAAAAACAAAACAAAACAGGAAGACAGTCATGGGGCTGGCTCCCAGTAACCGCAGGAGCAGGAGTCAGGCAGAAAGAGGAACAGGAGGGCAGCGAGGAGGGGGCAGGGCAGAAGTGAGGACAAGCCGCCTCCACCTCCAACCAAGAAGTAGGGCTGGAGCAGGGCCCAGCGATGTCCAGGGCAGACAGGATCCTTTCTAGCAGGCGACAAGTCCTGAACCCACCATGTGTGGTGGGACAGGAGAGAAGCAAAGACTGTGGGAGCACAGTGGCAGAAGCGGTGTGGTCATCCAGCTCTGGGGCCCATGGTAACCGCAACACTTCGCCCTTTCCTCCATGACCTCCAGGTGTCCTGTAACTCCTGCTGCCTCCCCAGCCTCCAGCTTCCCCTGGTTTCTGCTACTTGGGCCAGACACCCCAAGCTGCTTCCCTAATATCACTGTTTAGTATACACACTTGCCTGGCCTCCCCGCCTTCTGGCCAGGAACTCCGATCCCATGTGGCTGCGTACGTTGTGCCTAGGGGCTGGCTCACTTGCTCAATCGCTTTCTATTTTTTGATTTTTGGTTTTACTTTGTTTTGTTTTGTTGAGACAGGGTCTCATTCTGTAGTCCTGGCTGGCCTTGAACTTGCAGTGATCCTCCTGCCTCGGTCTCCCAGGTGTGCCAGATGGGCTTTCTTTAATCAAGAGACCACAGCACTCCCTGTTCCATATTGCCCATTCAGAACCCCCTCCTGGGGCTGGGGATTTAGCTCAGCAGCAAAGCGCCTGCCTGGCAAGCACAAGGTCGTGAGTTCGATTTCTGGTCCCGGAAGAAAAACAAAGCAAAAAAAAACAAAACACACACACACACACACACAAAGAACCCCCTGCTCCTACCCCTGCTCCTACTTGTTTCTGCAGCCACATTGGCCCTTGCTGGAACTCAGCAGGCCCATTCCCTGCCACCCACACCCATCGCCCAAGCTGATGGCTCCCTGCCTCTGAGATACCACCTCCTCAGTGATGGCTTGCCTGACCACCCTCCTCAAACACCATGTCCCCAGCCACTGCAGTGACACCATAGGCCGTACTATCACAGCGTTTACTGGTTGTGCTCACAAGAATGTCAGCTTCCCAAGGGTGGAGGCTTGGGTCACTCTGCTCACTGCAGCGTCCTCAATACCCAATCTCCACCACGTACTCACCATGCCATCTTTGGGCAAGGAACAAATGAGAGAAAGAATGCCCAAACATTGGCAGACCTCGAGTAGGTGTTGTATGTAGATTAAGATCTGTGCCTCCCAACCCTCCAAGTAGGATCATTTACAAGATCCTTTCATGGCCCCCAAGACTGACAAGCGGTAGAACTAGGGCTGAGTTCCAGTCTCATTACTCTTTTTTCTTTTGAGACAGGGTCTTGCTGTGTAGCCCAGGCTGGCCTTGAATTTCCAGCAGTCCTCCTGCCTCAGCCTCCTGAGTCCTGGGATGACACAGGTGCGCCAACACACCTAGCTCTGATTAAACATCTTACCACCTCCTGGACAGACTAGAGGCCACCATGACTACTGCCACCTGCCAACACAGCAACAGAGACTGAGCCAGGCAAGCCACTAATGAGGAGCAGACAAGCAGAGGCTTGACAGCCTCCCAAACCCCAGCTCCACGCCGCCCCAGAAGCTGCTTGTGGTCTGCACCCCTGCCTTGAGGGAGAACACGTGTGATGGTTACAAACACAGACCAGAGACAGGCCTGATGGACCCACACTGAGCGCCATGTGCACTCTCTAAAACGTAGGGCCCCAGCAAATCATTCCAGCCTACAAGCTTTGCTTCCCTGGCCATAAGACCCAGCTAATGGCACCAGATGAGCAGCTGCATAGGAAGCGGTAAGTAAGGGATCCTTTGCACATTATCCTCTACTATAGTTTGAAGTCCAGTGTGTGACCTTGGGCAACAGCTTCCCTTCCCCAGCATCTCATCTGCAAACTGGCCATAGTCCCCACCATACTAGAGGAAGTCAGAACACACCAGACAGGTGTGGCACCACATATGCCTCTCACAGCAGCACTTAGGGGGCTGAGGCAGGAGGATCACTTCGAGTGTGAGGCCAGCCTGGGCTACACAGTGAGACCCTGTCTCACAAAAAAGCAGGAAAAAAAAAAAAAACCCTATCTAAACCACTTGGTACTTAGATGTATCTGGCCTCTGGCCTCTTGCTTTGACTAAGTCAGCTCTCAGCATTCCACTGAAGCTTCTCTTATGGGCCTTCCCAGGAGGAGAGCCACGCCTTCCCACGGTTGGAACAAGGTCACTTGGCTTGCCGTGGGGAACAGGCCTAGGGAGAGGGGTCTGCCTGCCTCCTGATGATCCACGGAGCAGGCTGGGGCAGCGCACCTTGTCCTGCAGGAAGAGCAGCACATTCCGGGGGCCCAGCTCCAGGGCGGGGTCCAAGTAGGAAGAAAGCTGCATGTCGCTGGTGATGTGGCCCTCGTGCGTATCGGCCACAGGAGCCCACAGGTCCCTGGCAGGGGACAGAAGAGGCGCTGTCATGTGGGGGCGCATGGCTTGAGATACGAAGCCCGTTGGACTCCCGTCTCCCCAGAGGGACCGAGCTCTGATGCGGGCCGACTCGAGGCGAGCCCCCGAGCGAGGGACACAGCTCCCCCCGGGCCTCGGAGCCCTCTCTCAGAGAACAGCCCCCGGGTCGGCGGGGCTCCCGGCTTCCGCGGCGCGGCACGCAGCCCGCCCCAGCCCCGCCCGGCCCGCTCACCGGTCACTCGACCACAGCACCAGCGGCACCTGCTGCTCCGAGGCCGCGGCTGCCACCGCCACCGCCGCCAGCAGCAGGAGCGGCCATGGCATGCGCCAGGGAACCAGGGCCCGCTGCGTCCCGGTCCGAACTCGAACCGCCACAGACGCCGCCATCATAGCCTCAAGCCTCCACAGCCTTGGATGCCGGGCCGGGCAGATCAGATGACCCGTCGCCCCCGCTGCAGCCCTGCCCCGCCCCGCTATTGGCCGGGCATTGGCCCGGATGCAAGGCCGGCTCCTTAGACCTACCCATGATTGGACCGGGTGCGTGCCACTCACAGCCACTCCTCTTCATTGGTTGGCTGTACGTGTCTCCAGGCGCGCACGCTCCAAGGGGGAAAGGGGCGGGGCCGAGCCCTACTGACTCCGGCTGGGCTCAGCTGGCTCAGTTGTACTGGAGCAGTCTGAGCTCCGCTGGGCAGGGCGGCTACCCAGAGCCTACCCCCAAACAAACATTCACCTTCCGTTTTACTCTTTTTCCTCACAGCTGCGAAAGTAGCATCTTTTTCCTACAGACAGAGGGAATTCAGCGGAGAGGAGACTGCAGTCCCTTAGAGGAAGGAAAGGAGAGGATCCAAGGTAGCATCTGGAGGGATGCGGCACTGACCAGGGTCAGGCAGGTGGGGGATCCGGAAAGAACCATCTGGAAGAGCAGGGAAAGTCTGGGGACAGTAGGACGTGGAGGTCTCCGCGCCAGCTGTCAGTGTCAACCACCGCTAAAGGCAGGCAGACTGAGACAGGAGGAGGCTGTTCCACGGCTAGCCACTTGGCCACGAGCGATGCCAGTGTGAATTAGGGTACACACAGTCCAGGTTTGTCCTTTTCTAAGATTTGTCTCACAGGGAGGAGCCTGGCAGTTGCCCTCACAAAAAGAATGTCTTTCTCTGTGCCGGGTTTTCTTTCTCAGACTGGAGATGGTTGCAAACAAAATGATACAACCACCTCTTGAACTCTCCTTTTAAGGATATGTGTGCTGATTAAATTAGGAAGAAGTGGGGCTGGGGATTTAGTTCAGCGGCAAAAGCGCCTGCCTGGCAAGCACAAGGTCGTGGGTTCGGTTCCCGGTACCGGAGAAAAACCAAAATAAATAAATAAATAAATAAATTAGGAAGAAGTGAACTAATATCTGCAACTTACTTTGAACGCACCAAAAATAAAATGGAAAGAGGGTAGGTTTCACAAGACAAGTGCTCTAACCCCTGAGCTATAGAGCCGCCGCCAGAGGGTAGGTTTCAGAGAGGTATGCCATGAGGTGCAAGGCTACAATGTTAGGGACACCTCCCTGAAACTGGTGCTGGGGATCGAGCCTGGGTCTTGCACAAGGAGAACTCCCCGACAGCGCACCATCCAGCTCCGTCAGCTCTCTGTTAGTAGTAGTTTTTCTGGTACCGGCAATGGAACTCAGGACCTTACGCTTGCCAAGTAGGCACTGTGCCACTGAGCTACATCCCTGGGCCTTAGTAGTAGTTTTTTTTGTCCTGGGAATCTAACTCAGGACCTTGCGCTTGCCAGGCAGGTGCTTGTGCCACTGAGCTATATCCCTGGCCCCATAGTAGGTTTTGTTTTTCTGTTTTGTTTTGTTTTGTTTTGTTTTTTGAGATAGAATCTTGCAATATAGTTCAGGCTGGCCTTGAACTCACTATGTAGCCCAGGCTGGCTTTGGACTTGTAGCAATCCTCCTGCCTCAGTCTCCCAAGTGTTGGAATTACAGGCGTGCACCACCATGCCCAACTATTATTGTTAATTTTGAGACCCTTTCACTAAATTGCACAGGCTGGGCTCAGAACTCACCATCTTCCCGCCTCAGCTTCCTGAGCAGCTGGGATTATAGGCTTCTTAACTTATCTTACTGTATTATTGAGTGCATACCAAATGTGTGCAACATGCATGTTTGCATATGCGTCACATACACATGTGTATGAGGTATGTTACACATATCTGTTACCTGTAGATGAGATGCAAAGATAAAAGTACTGCTGGGTGTGGTGGCACACCCCTGTAATCCCAGCACTCAGGAGGCTGAGGCAGGAGGATTGTTGTGAGTTCAAGACCAGCCTGGGCTACAAAGTGAGCTCAAGGCCAGCCTGAAGTGCATCGCGAGACCCTGTCTCAAAAAGGCAAAACAAAAACAGCAGAGTCCTGTGGCATCAGGAGGCCAAGAACTAAAATGTCAGAGCCCCAAACCCCTCAGTAGTAGCCCCTGCACACTTTCCAGCTTTCCAACGTGACCATGAACCTGATACTCAGGAGAAGGACTTTGGTCTTAATATTTCCCCAGTTAGGTATTCATCCCTAAATATGGCTTCCTTGTGTCTGTTTTGGGGACTTTAAATAGATGGAATTACTTAGTATTTTGGGTCTGGATTGAATGCTGAACATGGGAAGATTAATTTGAGTCACACATGGCCACACCCTTCTGTGGCTGAAGTGCCCCATCCTTGGGTGGCCCTGTGTGGGTGTCATGGCTAATGCTGCCATGAGCAAGTACATGTATTGTGGGGAAGGACTGTGACTGCTGATGGGTAGATTACTGATGGTGGGCTTCTGAGCCCCAGCCGTGCTGAGTGCACATGGTGCGGGGTGTGAAGGCTCGCCCCAGGATGGTTCCCATCAGCTGAGAGGCAGAAATGGAAAGGGATAATGAATTTCTCCTGTTGGTCTGAGTTACGGGCTTGGTTTGAATAAAAGGTGATTGAGATGAGTGATGGGGCTGCAGTCCCAGAGGCTGTGGGCCCCCTGGTCCCAGACCTTTGCCTCTCCTGTTTTTCTTACCTCTTTTACCTTTTCATCTGCGGGCACCTCGTTCTCGGGACCTGTCACCACAGTTAATACCAACAATGTATGTTGCTTGGTATGTGTGAATGGCTTTTCATTTCTTTTCTTTTTGAGGTACTGGCAATTGACGCCAGACCCATCATGCTGAGCTACATCCTCAGCCCTTCTCTATTTTTTAATCTTGAGAGAGGGTCTTGCTAAGTCACTACTGGGCTTTAACTTGTTGATTCTCCTGCCTCAGCCTCCCAGAGTGCTGGGACTATAGGCATACACCACCTTGCTTGGTTATAATATGGCATTTCAAAGGTATGTGACTTGGTGTGGAATTGCCACATCACAGGGTGTATTTGGGGCTGGACAGGGTCCCCACAAAAGTCATCTCCACCTGGAACCTCTGGCTGTGACTTCTCCTGGGAATAGGATCTATGCAGATCCAATAGAGCTAAAAGAAGCAGCAGCCATACTGGATTAGGTGGGGCCTAAGCCAATGACTGGTGTCTTCCTAAGGGGAAAAAAGAGAAGAGAGAGGAGAACCCCACATGAGGATGGAGACAGGGATCGGAGTGGGTGAGAAGGCCTCTGGGAAGTACGCAGTGCTCTAGGAAATGCTGGGTCATGTCACACACACACACCCCTTTTCCTTGGAGAGGGTTGGCCCCATGTTGGTTTGGAGAAGCTCTTCATCTACAGGGAGGGAGCCCTACAGTCACGAGAGCACCCTTGTCCATCACCATCTGGAAGTTGTTCTGCTCTCACAGTGTTTCGGTGGGGTGTGGGCGGAAGGGAAGTGTCCACTCCCTGTGAAGCTGAGGTGGTCTCAGCGGCCTCTACTGAGAAGAACCTCGTTTCCCACTGGCTTGCAATTCTGCTTATGTCCAACAATAAATGTCCACAGAGATGTGGGCCAGATGCCATTCCACAGGTGAATTTGTCTATCCAATGTGATGTTTTTTTGTTGTGTTGTTTTGAGACAGGGTGTTGCTGTGTAACTCAGGCTGGCCTCAGATTTGATGCAATCCTCCTGCTTCAGCATCCCGAGTGCTAGGATTAAAAATATGCACCATCACGCCAGACTTACTACAATGCTGACTTAATTACCATAACATCAATAATAAACCTTAATACCTGATGGAGCAAGTCCTCCCATTTTGTTTTTGTTGCTGATGTTGTTTTTTAGCCAGGGTCGCAGTACTCACTATGTACCCCCGGCTGGCCTTGAACTTGCAGCAATCCTCCTGCCTCAGCCTCCTGGGTGCTGGGATGACAGGGGTGCCACCACACCTGGTTGAGCATTTTATCAAGTATTTTTTCTGCATTAATTGAAATAATTTATGCTTTTTCTCCTTTGATCAGTTAACATAATGAATGGCATTTATAGATTTTTTTTTTATAAAGTTTTTTTTTTTTTGGTTTTTCTCCGGTACCGGGAACCGATCTCACGACCTTGCACTTGCCAGGCAGGCGCTTTTGCCGCTGAGCTAAATCCCCAGCCCCGGCATTTATAGATTTTGCAGTCTCCAGAGAGGCCAAGCTTGGTCATGAGATACTGTTTTTCATACATTGCTCATGTGGTACTTGGCTTAAGAACACTGTTTAGAACCTTGCCTCCAGGCTCATGAGTGAAGTTGATCACCTGCCCGGTCCTGTCCTTAGGGGTTTAGCTATCACTCCTCTGGCCTTGCAGATGCGAAGGGGACCAAGTTATGAGAGGGAGGAGGGAAGGACGGGGAAGGGGACTATCTGGCAGCTCGGGACGAATCGGGGACCCGTATCTTCTTTTCTACTTTCCCAGAGTTTGGACAGAATTGTCTTTGTTTTTGTTTGTCTTTTTTTTGTTTGTTTGTTTGTTTTTGTTTTTCTCCAGTACCGGGAATTGAACTCACGACCTTGCGCTTGCCAGGCAGGCGCTGTGCCGCTGAGCTAAATTCCCAGCCCTGTTTGTCTTTTTGAGACAGGGTCTTGCTATGCAGTTCAGGCTGGCCTTGAGCTCACTTTGTAGCCCAGGCTGGTCTCAAACTTGCAATGATCCTCCTGCCTCAGCCTTCCAAGTGCTGGGATTACAGGCTAGTTTTAAACTCTATGTAGCCCAAGCTGGGCGTGGTGGCACACGCCTGTAATCCCAGCACTTGGGAGGCTGAGGCAAGAGGATCGTTGTGAGTTCGAGATCAGCCTGGGCTGCAAAGTGAGCTCAAGGCCAGTCTGAACTGCATAGGGAGATCCTGCCTCAAAAAGAAAAAAAAAAAAAAAAAAAAAAAGAACATACTAATTTCAAGTACAATTTTCTGTTTTTCCTATGGGCTATTTAGAAGTGAGCATGAGCCAGGCATGGTGGTGCACACCTCAGCTACTCAGGAGGCTGAGGCAGGAGGATAGTATGTTATAGGTTAACCTAAGCAACCTCATGAGACAGTCTCAAAGTAAAAACAAAAATAAACAGACTGGGACTGCAGCTCAGCGCTCTTTGGATTCAGCTCCCAGCACCGCACACCATTTGTACAGACGTGACACCACGGTGGCCTGACTGCTGTCCCCTGAAAGGGCTGCTTATGAACTCAGGGCTCAGCTGGTCTCCCAGAATTTGGATGCAGGGATGGTCCCAGCCCCGGATACAGGGATCTTTGGATGCAGGGATGGCTGCAGCACCCTAACTATGCTCATAATTTTTTTTTTTTTGCAGTTCTAGAGATCGAACCCAGGGCTTTCACACTTGATGTGGGAAGATCTTGCTGTACCCAGGACTATGAGTCCTGCCTGTTTGTTTGGGTTTTTGTTTTGTTTGAGACAAGATCTTGACATGTACCCTCAAACTCTCGGTGATCCTCCTGCCTCAGCCTCCTGAGTGCTGGGATATGTGCCACCATGCCCAGCAAGTCCTGCCTTCCTGTCCAGAGCTCCCTACCCATTCCCATCCCTATACAGAGGCCAGAGGTACAACAGCACAACACAAATGCTTTATTGTTTAAAAAAACGAAGAAACCCTGACCCAAGATGAGAGGACCTGGACAGCGAAAGGGTGGGAGGTCAGTGGACCTGCACAGGGCGGACCAAGGCTCACTGGAGCAGGTCTCATCTTCTCTTGCTGCCTGCTGGCCAACATGGCCACCTTGTCCTGGGCCAGGCCCCACAGTGGGGAAGCTGGGCTTTAGAAGGAAGACATGGGAGCCAGGCATGGTAGTGCACGCCCATTATCCCAGCACTTGGGAGGCTGAGGCAGGAGGATCGCCGCAAGTTCCAGACCAGCCTGGGCTGCAGAGTTGAGTTCATACTGGCCTGGACTACACAGTAAGACCCTGTCTCAAAAAACAAAAAAGGAAGACATGGCAACAGCCATCCCTGAGCAGCTTCTGGACTGGCAAGGGTGGGCAGGGAGAGCCAAGCTAGGTGGCCTCATGCGCCACCTGCCCTGACCCAGCTGGGCACTGGCATGCCCACTCTGCCCCTCCCAATGCCAGCCCCACGAGTGGCCCTGCCTTAGCCTCCTCTTGCTCCATGGCCCAGAGACCAGCAGCAGAGCCCTTCCTTGGGCTGGAGCACCAGCTGGAAGCAGGCACCAGGCAGGGTCTGTGCCCACCTGGCACCACCTGGAGCCCAGTGCGCCATCCCAGGCCTGCGTGGCCGTGGCCGGTGGCTGGGCTCAGGCCTAGCTCCCTGCATGCAGGTGGCTGTGCAGCTGCTCAGCCTGGCTCTTGAGGCGCTGGAACTCTTCCTGGATGAAGTCTGTCAGGGCCTTGCGCATCTCCACCTGGGGGTGAGCACTGGGTTGGCCTGGACCAGGACCGCGGGCAGCACTCTGGGAGAGGCGGGGCTGGGAAGAAACTCACAGCTGACTTGTTTTCTACCCGGAGCCGCTCAAGCACAGGCAGCGCGCTGAAGGGCCTCCCAATGAGCACGGTGATTTTCTGTGGAGGGGGGCAGCTGCTGGGTGACACAGAGCAGAGGACCCCCGCTGTTCCTGCCCCAGCCATCCTGGAGCCAGAGCCAAGTCCTCCCCCCTAGTCCCTCCGTGTGCTGTGTGTGCTCTCACTGATTTCCCTCTTTAAAACAAATAGCTGGGGCTGGTGTGGTGGCACCTGCCTGCCATCCCAGCCCTCGGGAGGCTGAGGCAGAAGGATCACTGTGAATTTGAGGACAGTCTGGGCTACAGAGTGAGACCCAGTCTCAATAAACCAAACAAATTAAAATGAAACCAGCAGCTGGGCCATTGTAGTCCTGGGAGCCATCCTAGATGACCTGTCCCTTTCTAACCCCGAGGCCTATCCCTGCCCCACGTTTCAAAGGCTCTGGGCTCAGATCTCTACCCTGGTCCTCTGCAGCATGGACCAGGGCACATGTGGGGGGCAGACAGGCAGGCAGACAGATGGACAAATGAACGGATGTAAGGAGTGGCAGTGCCTACCCACCTGTCCGAAGCGAGGGAAGTACGGTGGGCTGTTAGGAAGGACGTCATTCATACCTGTAGCACAGGACACAGAAGGCTGCGACTGCGCTGGAGTTGCAGGCGGCCTGGGCAGAGGATCCTGGGTCGCCCAGCTGAACCCCCACAACCCCATCCAGGGAGCCCCTGGGCTTACCGATGTGCCACAGTGGAAGGATAACAGGGTTCAGGTGACACTCAGCAATCAGGCGCCCAATTCCTGCCAGGGGAGAGGCAGAAAGGCTGGCACAGGCTGTGCCCAGCTGCCCTGCCCTACCCTGGCCAGTGCCACCCCACCAGTTCCCACTCAGACCCACTTGCTGGGTGGCCCTTGGGTCACTGCCTGGCCCCTGGCCCGCTTCCCACATGCCCAGCCGAGGGTGGCCAGCAGGGCTCACCCCACTTGAAGCGCAGGAACTCAGAGCTCATGTTCACCTTCCCTGTGAAGAAAGCACAGTGAGGCTGAGCCAAGGCCACCACCGCCCGACCCCGCAATAATACTCACCTTCCGGAAAGATATGCACCCAGTCCCCATGGTTAAGCTTGTCCAGGATGAAGTCCATGCCCCGCTGGTAGACACCATCTCCTGCAGAGAAGGGCCTGTCCCTGTCAGTCTCCACCCTGCACACCCTTCCCCCAGACACTACATCCCAAACTGGACCAGAGGCAGCACCTCGGGGACTCATCACACACACTGTAACATGCACGGACACCCTTTGATGACTGTGCCAGGCCTGTTCCACCTGGTCATCCCGGCCTATTAGCTTTGTGTGGTGCACACTCTTGTCATCCCAGCCCTCAGGAAGCTGAGGAAGGAGGATTGCTGAGTTCAAGGCCAACCTGAGCTACACAGTGAGACCCTGTCTCAAGACACCAAAAATAAATAAAATAAAATAAAATAAGGTGGGGAGACACAGCAGACAAGCTGGGACCATCTCTGGCCAGTGCACTAACCCTAACCCTGTTCTCCACAAGGCCAGTTCTAGCCAGGGACCAAGCAGTCTCAATACAACCCAAATCGGGACCTGGCCCACAGCTGCTTAGAGGCTGGGGGATGCACAGGGTCTCCCATTTGGGGTCACAGTCTCTGCCAGCGCCTATCCACAGAGCTTTACACTGGATGTGAGAGGGGTGCCTTGGCAGAGCTTTTTTTTTTTTTTTTTTGGTATCACGCACCAAACTCGGGGCCTTGTGCTTGCCAGGCAGCTGGCGGAACTTTTGCCCATGCTGTGTCCACTCAGCACTTTCGTCAAGCCCCCACACACTGGACTATCACATTACGGAGCCTGGGCTTGGGGGCAGGCAGAGGCAAGGCACTCTGGGTATGTCCTGGGCGCCTAGCATATAATTAGAGCTTCAGGCAGGTCACATGTGTGGTAAATAACTCATCCCTGCCACTCTTTCACTGAAGGTGCTTGGGATTAAAGTTGCACTTCCTTTCTTTTTCTTCTCTTCTCTTCTTTGTGTGTGTGTTTTTGGTACTGGGGATCGAACCCAGGGCCTTCACACTGAACTACATACTTAGCTCTAATTTTTTTTTTTTTATTTGAGGCTGAGTGTCACTAAATTGCACAGGCTAGGCTCAAACCTGCAATCCTGCTTCAGCCTCCCAGAGTGCTGGGGTTACAGACGCACACCACATCTGGCTATTCGAGGATTTGTCATATTTTACTTTGGCCAATGGGAAATAACAAACTCTCCTGACTTCTTACAGCCTATGATTCCTTTTTCTTCTCTTTCTTCCTCACAAGCAATGCTCTGAGAAGACTGACCACCTCTGCTGTCCCCCACCCCACTGCAGGCCACCAGCCCCCTCTTGGGCCACAGAAGGCCACTTCCTATAGCCATCACTCCATGGAAATGGCTTATCTAGGGTCACCAATGGTGTTCATGCTGCACAGGCCCCTGGTTCACTTTTCTGTCTGGCTGTCGTTCTCTGCCACCTTGGTGGCTTGTCTCTCTGTGCTCAGAGGTGCCACCCAGGACTTCTGCTCTCTCCACACACCCTCTGGAATCTCAGCTCCATGTTTGAGGCCAAATCCCAATTGATCCCTCTCCTGAATCCCAGGTTTTTGTTGTTGTTTTTTGAGTGTTTTGAGACAAGATCTCACTATGCAGCCCAGGCTGGCCTCGAACTCATGGAGATTCTCCTACCTCATGCTCCCAGCAGCTGGAGTGACAGGCGACCACCACCACACCTGGCTTAGAGTCCAAAATTCTTTTTTTTTTTTTTTTTTTTTTTGCCGGGAATCGAACTCAGGGCCTTACACTTGCCAGGCAGGCACTGTTCGGCTGAGCTACATCTCCAGCCCAAGAGTCCAAAATTCTTAATAAGTTTATTCCAGAACCTTCCCAGCCTTCCTACAGCCATGGTTTTCTACCTCTCCAGCACCTGGCATGTGTGTGGCCACCTTCCAAACACCTTTCCCTTCCTCTGTGCTTCCCAGAGGAGACCAACCTGGATTTCAACTGTGGCTTTTTCACCTCTCCCCTTGTGTCACCTGCCAACAGTTTAAGCTCTCAGAGCTCTGTGTATGTGAAGAAGGGGGATCAAAATGGCCTTCTCTAGGCCTGGTATAGTAGGCTCACCTGTCACCCCAGCCACTGGGGGCCTGAGGCACCACACCGTGAGTTCAAGGCCAGCCTGAAGTCCACAGGAAACCTTGTTTAAAAAACACTAAAACAATGGGCCAGGGACATAGCTCAGTGGCACAAGTGCCTGCCTGCCAAGCATAGTCCTGAGTTTGATTTCTGGTGCCAAAAAAACAAAGCTCTAAAAAAAAACCACAAACCACTAAAACAAGTGCTGATGGTACACACCTGCAATCCCAGCACTTGGGAGGCTGAGGCAGGAGGATCACAGTGAGTTCAAGGCCAGCCTGAACTACACAGGGAGACTCTGTCTCACAAACACGCACACAAGGGGCTGAGGATATAGCTCAGTGGCATAAGCGCCTGCCTGGCAAGCGCAAGGTCCTGAGTTTGATCCCCAGTACTGCAAAAAAAAACACCCCAAAATACCCACACACAAACGAAAACCCACTAAACCAAAGGCCCCTCCCTCAGGGAGTTCTCAAGCGCTACCAGATGTCGCTCAATCTCAGACTCTTGGCTCCACAAGCCTGCCTGCTCTCTCAGAAGCAAAGCCCGTCGGCTTTCCAATGCGTGCTACTGCCATCGTGAGTGGGTGCCACTGCCAGCGAGGCTCCTACTCAGCAATCTTCCTGAGTCCTCAAGCCAGGGTCTAGCACTCCTGATCCGCAAAGCCCCCTCCCCAGCAGTCTCTGTCACCCCCACGCCATGCGATGCTCTCCCTGGCACCCGGGCTGCTCATCGCACACAGGCTGCTCTACTCTAAGACAGAAGCGAGACGCAGCAACCCCGCTCCGGGGAGCCCAGACGCCGAGGGAGCAGCTCACCTCGGCACACGGGCACGCACTTGCCCAGGCTGAAGAAGCGTGAGTGCAGCTCCTTGGTGAAGCAGATGTCTGCCGCTGCCGGGGTCCTGGGCAAGGACAGGCCTGGTCACTGCCGCCCAGGTCAGGGGCCCAGGATGAGGGCCCATGGGCCACACCCCGTGCCTTGCCTGGACTTTGGCTGCCACTTCCAGGGGGGCAGGAGGGTAAATGTGGGCAGGGCCTGCTCACCAGCGCATGAGCCTCAGGTTCCAGATGTGGCGGAGCTTCAGGATCCCTAGGTAAGGAGAGAAGAGGCTTTGTGTCTGACTTGCCTTCCTTCAGGACGTGTCCTTCTTGGTCACCTCATCTCAGTGGCACCTTCTAGACTCTTGGCCTGGCCCCCCAAGTTTCCTCTGCCCCCCATAGCTTATTCATCACAGAGTGTAATCCTACTCTTTTTGTTTGTTTTTTGAGACAGGGTCTCATTATGAAGCCCAGCCTGGCCTGGAACTCACCATGTAGCCCAGGCTGGCCTTGAATTTGTGGCAATCCTGCCTCAGCCTTGCCCTGTGACCATTTTCTCGGTCCTTTTACATTTCTTAGGCCCTGAGAGGATGTCCAAGGGGCCACAAACGGAACTTGTCCCCCAGCGGTGGGGCATCTCTGACCCAGGAGTGCAAGGGCTGTGCAAGGAGCCCAGTAAGCAGTGGATCTGCACTGGTGTTACTTGGGCCAGTCTGGCCCTCCCGGCTTCCTTCTCCGCCTCCCCATGCCCAGCACCTGGCCCAGTACCCCAGAGGTGAGGATCATCCATGCAGGACTGGTGGTTGGAGACGGTGATGAGGGGCGTGGTGGGGCTTCGGTTCTCGATGAGCTCGTACAGCACCTCCTTGTTATGGACGATGAGGTGGTTCATGTACTCTGAGGGGAGGAGGGGGTCTTGGTCTCAGCCTCCTCCCACCTGCCTAAGGCTAACTTCCGCTGGGGTGGCCCGCTGCTGCCCCCCACCCCACGCTCCAGCTCTGGCCAGCCTGCGGACACGGGACAGACTGCCTTAGCCGTGGGCCACTCACTGGTCCAGAAGCAGCTGTAGGTGCCCACTAGCCCCATGACGACACTGCTGGCCAGGGTCCAGGTGAGCGGCGGCACGGCGGGGAACGGCCAGCGCACATGGAGGGGCATGGCCTCCGGCGCCGCCCGCCGCCCGGCACTGCGCCGACCTGGGCAGCCCGCGGGCCCGGCCGGCCTGGGTCGGTGTCCTCAGTCGCCGGAAAGGTCTAGGACAGCCTCGAGCACACACAGGAGCCGCACATGGGCGCGACGCGGGCTCGGGCCAAGGTCACCTCGCAAATCGGGCCAGTGCGGCGCGACAGAGGGCCTGCCGCCGGGGCCAGAAGCCAGGGTCGCAGCGACAAGGGGGACGCACCCGCACCGTAGGTAGTGGCAACCGCGCGCCGCCAGAAAGCAAGCCGGCGAAGGCGCCAGGCTGCCCGCCACCTGTCGTGAAAGGCGCCAGGCGCTTGACGGCAGCGGGGCGGGGCTGCCCGGGCCCTGCTAGCTCCCGCGGGTCCCTGCCGGGTTCCGGCTGTGCCCGCCAGCCTGCAGCTCCCTTAGGGGCGGGGCCCCTAACTGAACTCTGTAGGTGATGGGGGCTGCGAAGTACGATCACCTGAGGCCACCGAAGGTCTAGGCTGCGGGAGCTCTTTTATTTTTTCCTCTTTAATGAGGTAAAATTCGCATGACATAGAATTAACTATTTTAGCGCCGGGCGTGGTGGCGGACGCCTGTAATCCCAGCACTCGGGAGCTTGAGGCAGGAGGATCATTGCAAGTTCGAGACCAGCCTGGGCTACAAAGTGAGTTCAAGTCCACCCTGAATTGCATAGCGATACCCTGTCTCAAAAAGACAAAAAAAAAAAATTACAGCTGAGCTCAGTGGCGAACATCATCCCAGCATTCAGGAGGCTGAGGCAGGAGTATCCTGAGTTCCAGACCAGCCTGACATATGTAGTAAGACCCTGTCTCGAAAAACAAAAACAAAAACAAAATGCAATCTTGCATAATTGCAAATTGCAATATTGCAAATTGCATAATTGCAATATTACATGACTATACAATATGATATGTATATATGTATGTAAAATACAATGTAATGACAGGATTTGTAATATGTGCTATATAGTAATGTAAACAATAAGATGTTACATATACTACGTACATATAATATGGTGTTAGTACGTTTACAATGTACTAAATATACAGTGATGCTGTCAACCACTATCTTTCCTTTCAAAACATACTCCTAACCCCAAAAGTCCTGTCCCTGCCCAGCAACGTGGTACACACATATAAACTCAGAACTCTGGGAGGCTGAGGCGGGAAGATTGATTTCAAATATGAGCACAGCCTGAGCAATTTAAGTAAAATCTTGTCTCAAAATTTTAAAAAAGTCTGTGGTGTAGCTCCGTGCAAAGGTCCTGGGTTCAATCTCCAGTACCAGAGGGGAGGGTAATTTTAAAAAGGTCACTGTCAAGGCTTGTATGTTTAATTTTCAAACCATAATTTGTTTTGGTTTTGGTTTTGGTTTTTTGAGACAGGGTCTTGCTATGTGTAGTTCAGGCTGCCTTGAGTTCACTGTGTAGCCCAGGCTGGCCTCGAACTCGCAGCAGTCCTCCTGCCTCAGCCTTCCGAGTCCTGTGCCACCACGCCGGTTTAAACCATAATTTTATTTATTTTATTTTATTACTTTCGGAGGTTAAGTAGGAAAATTTATTGGAGAATAGGAATGGGGAATGAAGAATAAGAATAGCTCCTGAGAGACAGGAGGGGTCCCGAATGAATGGGTTGCCCTAAACCATAATTTTATTGACCTAAACATTTTTTTCCAAGGGTCTAGGATGTAGTGTGGTGGCAGAATATTCGCCTAGCATGCGAGAGTCACTGGGTTTATCCTCAGCACCAAAGCGAACCAAACCAAAAGCTTGCCAACTTCTGCCCGGCGGGGACATTGTACTGCACGGTCAAGCTGCCAACCCCCCAGCGGAGACTTGGGCTGATCTGGGGTTTCCTTCCTCTCGCCCCGGCCTTTGCTCAGGTCGGAGACCCTTGGGGGACCTTTGCGGGGAGAGGGCGGCGGCGGCAGCCGGGCCGACGCCGCTCCCGCGGCTCTCAGGCTCCGCCGGCCCCGCCCTG